GAAAGTGGAAAGCTAAGTCATCACCAACAGAGTGGAGAAAAGGAGACAGTGTGTGACTTTCAAGGCTAGAACATAAGAGACCTCACATTCTTGGATTACTTTTGCTGGGAAAAGCTGGCAGCCATATTGTGAGGACACCCAAGAGTCTCTCTGGAGGGACCCCACATGGGGGGGAACTGAATCTCCTAGCCACCAGCCTTGGGAGTGAGCCAGTCCTGGGCCTTCAGGCACTACAGGCCCACACAATGTCTTTACTATAATCTTAAGAGAGATGACAAGCTAGAACCATCTGTCTAAACTGCTCTCAGATTCTTGACTCAAACAACATATGTAAGCTAATGTTTATGGCTGTTTTAAGGTGATAAAAGTGTTGGGATTATTTGTTACACAGCAATGGGTGACTAACACAAAGTGGGTGCAGATGGCTCTAGAATGGTCAGAAATTGACTTGAGAAGAAAAGGTGACTTAAGATTTTCCCTTCCCTATTTCTCTCTCCTACTCTCAAAGCATTATGACGTTAAGAAAATGATGTGTTGATCAAGAGGGAGTCTAGAGACTTTGAACCATAACCTGGTTCAGTCCTTAGCCTCTGTCAGCCTTGGTCTCCCTACTTCTAATGGAAGAATTAAAAATATAACCCACTAACTCTATAATGTTAGGGTCTTATAATGATTAAGACTTTAAGTCTTGAGTCAGGAAGACTGGTTATGAATTGACAGCTTCACTTATTGGCTTGCTATGTGACCTTAAGCTAATGACCTAATTTCTCTGAGCCTCAGTGTCGCCTCTCATAAAGTAGGTTTAATAATATCTACTTATAGTATTGTTACCAAAAAATCAATAAAGTTCTATCTATCAATTACTCAGCACAAAAAAAAAAATTACTCAGCACACAGTAAATGGTCCGTAATGACATAGCATAGGGATATGATGATTTCTGTGTACAGCTCAGACACAGGAGGAGAAGAGAGATTGAGGATCTCATTGGTCTGGATCAGAGCCCAGGTGGGTCTTTTTCAAACATCCCCAGATAATTCCTTGAGACAATCTGTCTCAGGAAAACTTCCACATACATGTCCTAAAATTATCCAACTTTGCACTCTAATGCTGTTTGTAAGAGAAAAAGATTAGAACCCACCCAAATGTCAGTCAACAACTAAGCAGGAAATAAACTATGAGTGGAATACTACATAGCAGGGTAAAATGAATGAGCACTTCGTGTATGGACCGTGCACATAAATCTCTAAAATGTAATTCTAAACTGAAAATGCACAAGGATACATACAGTGTATACATAGGATACAGATAGGATACAGATGGACACTCGAGAGTATCCATAGAGTACACAGAGTATATGTATGGAAGGATACATAGACTGTATGGAATGTTGGGGTTATGGGTTCCATTCCCAGCACCGCAACAAGGGGGAAAGAGAAGGGGAGAGAGGGAGAAACTTCTGGGAGAATGGCAGCCTGGTGTTCTTTCCTTCTCGTCAGGTGTATGTGCACACGCACGTCTGCATACATCTCCCTAATGACCTCACCCTGCTGTTAAGACATAAAGCAGGTCCCTTAACAACAAAAAAGCACTTACACATCATTTTTTGGAAGTACTGGTTTCCCCCAAACAACTTGCTCCGAAAACAAAAGTTATTTCCTTCTCTGTGTTCGAAAATCCAGGTAAAAATGAATTCGACACAAAGCATTGTGAGGCCAGGGCAGAACCTACCAACCCAGGGACACTTATATGGGGTCCCCAAGACCCTGCCCCCTCGTGACGCCTCAGAAACTGGGTCCAATGCCAGCAGGTGCAGGGAGAATCGGTCGAGGAGAGACGGGGCCTGTCTTTTCTGCAGCGAGATTAAGATGAAAGGAGGAAAAAAAAAACCCAAGCAGGCTGGGGGAGTGAAAGGAAGGTATGAGTACGGACAGCAGGAACGGGGATGGTTTATTTTCTTGTAATGAAGTTGAGACACCCTGAAACCAACCCCAGACAATACAGCCCCATGTTGGGGAGTTTAGTTTCTTCTCAGCCGTAGCATCCGCTTCTGCCTGCGAGAAGTGCTTGACGGTCGTTGCTTAAATCTGCGGAAGGTTGTTATGCTATTTGGTTTTGCATAATGGACACACTTCCCAGGCAGCCTCTTTCTAGGTTCTTTGTCATGTGTCAAGGTAAGCTTTTAGAAAACTCCGCCACGGACCACGGGGAGGTAATTTCCTGCTAATATAGAATGCTTAAGATGGAGAAAGCCAACTTCTCAACATCGCTTCAGGGACCATATTTTGTGGATTCAACACAGCTAAATGCAGACAAAGTCAAGAAAGAAAATTGAGTGTAGCCGTCTGACAAGGGGACAGAAGGAGAGATGCGCGGCCAGGTGAATTGGCGCCCCCTGGTGTCCGGAGACAGTGACGCCACCCGTTGCCGAGATCCTTTGTGTTTCTTCCTATGTGAACGCCACTCTCCGCGGCCCATTTTAAAAGCCTAAAACAAGGCCGACAATCTGGCAGCCCCCGGAGCCAGCAGGCAGACATGCCCACTGTTTAAAAATCTAGAGATTCTGCTAAAAAAAAAAAATTAAAAATAAAAATTCAAGCCTAGCCTTTCTTTTGAAAAATTGGAAAAATCTGTGAACTCCAGGTGAGGCTGCAGCCCAGCCTAAGAACTGTGGGCTAAAGCTGAGAACTGCCGTCCACCTTGGGTAAGGCTGTGTCCTCGAATCCGCCACACCCCCTCCTCTCCCCACCGTCTCACACCCAGGCCGTTTTGCCTATGAGCAGTTCCTGTGCAGCTTCTGGATTTGCTCGCAGCGGCCCAGGCTCCTTAAAGAGTTTACACTGGTGTCCCGAGAATGAAGAGAGGAGAGTACCTTTAACAGTGACTACATCCCTTCATTCCTGGACGTGAACAGAGCTCCACAGCCCCCAGGATACCCAGCTCTGTGAAGTTAGGTGACTTCCCCAAACTGGTGGGCTTTGCAACTGAATTTGTCACGCGTCAAGGTAAGCTTGTAGAAAAGTCCCCCAGGGACCACGGGGGGCGGGGCATCTGTCTGACCCCGCCCACCCTGCCTTCTGCTACACCAACTGTATCCACACGCCAGCCGCGCAGCAGGCCCTCCTCTGGGGAAGGTGTGTACACTGCTGACTACTTGGACCATCAAAAGTGAAACTCAGAGGACTCCAAGCCAACCACGTACAAGACCTCTGTTCAAACAATTAAGCCATCAAGATAACTACCATCCTGGTGTTCTCTCTTAAGAGCACTAGAGTTTGTCCTGCATTAGGAGTTTCAAATTCAAATCAAACAAAATTCCTTGAGCAGCCATGCTCCCTGCTGGGAGTTGAGAGAAATGGACCCAGGATCAAGGGCACCCAACAGGCAAGGCTGGGAGCTGTGTGCTCCTTCATTTTGAAATGTCCCCCAGTGTCCTTCAGGACTGCATGCCTCCTGGCCATCAGCCCCAACTCCAGCCTGGCCTGGACACTGCCTCTTGTGCTTCGCTGAACTAGAATCAGGATGAGACCTACACAGGGTGCAGGGGTCTCTCCCCAGTGATCAGAGCCACCTGGTAGCTCTAGCGCTTTCTTCCGCGAAGAAGAAATAAAGCGGCAATGACTGTGTCTCATCGAGAAATAACTGTGACAGGTGATATTCCTCAAGCACGCGCTCTGGGCCAGATGCACAGGCTCACACAAAATCCGCAAAAAGGCGCTGAGACCACATTATCCCCAGTTTACAGGAAACCAAACGGGGATCAGCAAGGCTGAATCACCCGCTAGATGTAACTGTCAGCAGGTGTGGAACCCGGGGTGTGAACCGAGGCTATGCGGCTCCACGTGTCGCGTGAGAGTCACATCCAAAAGCATCAAGCCCTCGGCAAATCCCAAACTTGAGGGCAACAGCGAAGTAGACGGTCTGTCCCCATTTTACTGATGCGGTAATGGGGCTGGAATTCACTGGCTCAAGGACAGAGTGCGAACGGCAGTTTGACTCCAGAATCTGCCCTAGTATTTTAATAATCTTAGCGTTTCTGGAGTGTATCCCTACATGTTCAATTCCATACTTGTGGGTTAAGATGCAGGTTTTTAACTCTGCTTCAAGAAAAAAGGCTCTTCTCTCTGGAAACCAAGGGAACCAGCCAGGGCCTTCTCCAGGGGCCGCGAATTGGCGTGGTGCCTCACGCTTGTAACTTTAGCACTTCGGGGGTCAGAGGCAGGAGCATTTCAAGTTCGAGCTTAGAGGCAGGAGGATCGCAGGTCTGAGCCCAGCCTGGGCAACTTAACGAGACCCTGTCTCAAAATATGATAATAATATAGTAATAATAGGGCTGCTGGCGTGTGGCTTAGTGGAAAGGCCCGGAGTTCAAACCTCACTCTGGCAAAAAAGAAAACCAAAATACGCACGCAACGGAGCACATGAAACCGACGGGGAGAGAAAGGCAACGGCAACGCCAACCCAACGGGACGGGGCAGAGTCTGGAAACAAGGGCTGCGTAGTCAGGACCAACTGGGGGCCAGATGAAGGAGCCTCACTGTACACCCAAAGAAACTGTGGCACACGAGAGTGGGCGGAGACTTGAGGTAGCAGTTCTGCTGTTCGGAGGTGCTAGATTCCGAGCCTCACGCCTACGCACCCCTAGTCCCGCCCCTACGCCCAGTTTTCGGTGCGCACTCCTCCCACTTGTGGCCGAAGACCCGCCCCCCCATTGCGTATTGGCTGCTGTGGCTAAGAGACCAGCCAATGGGAGTGGCCCACGGCGCGCCTTTCTCGAGGTAACCGAGGTCAATACGGAAACCCGGAAATGCGAAGGATTGACAGGTGGAGAAGACCAATCCGCTGCTGCAAGGATGTTAGACCACCCAATGGAGAGTCGTAGAGGGCGGAGCCAGAAGGCGGACGAAGGAGGTGGTCCCGGGAGCCTACAGCCACGAAGTCGGCCGGCGCAGGGAAGGAGGCGGGAGGGCCCGGCATCCGCATGGTGAGGAGGGGGCGAGCCCTAGGGGCTTCGGAAGGTGCGGCGGGGTTTAGAGTCCTGGACGGGGCTCGCAACGAGCCGGTTCTGCAGACTGACTTTAGAGCGGTCCTTTGGCCTCTCCGGGCCTCAGTTTACCTCTTTCTGCGGACGTGGAGGCCGAGAGATTGGCGCCTTCCGGAGCGCACTGCCCCCGGCACCGACGAAGTCCCTGTGTTTACAGCTTGCTCGAGTATCCAGTTCTTCGGGGAGCCCCTAGCCACCTGTACCCCCACAGCGCACCAAGCTATTGCACATGTCCTGGGGCCACCGGCTGGGCTTACCCTTAAGGCTCTGAGCCTGTCATCTGTCAGGCATTTCCGGAGCAGAGCAGCGCAGAGCAGGTGCACAGCCCCACTTAGTAAGTATCAAGATAGAGATTTAGGCCTGCTTCTGTGTACCGGCTGCGGGCCTTCTGGAATTTAACTCGCCCTGCCCGTGCCTCCGTTTCCCTCATCTGTAAAACAGAACTTTAAGTAGTTTTTCCTTCATAGGGTGGAGTAAAAAATTAAATGAGGTGCTGTGAAGCTGGCACCGGCTCAGTGCCCAGCACAGCATAGTGCCCAATAAAAGCCTATTGTGAGCTTCATGCTGGCACACCTGGCCCCCACCCCCAAGTCCAGCCCCAGCACGTGCCTGTTGTCACTGACAGAGCAGCCACACACTCTGGCCAGGGCCTGAGTTCTTCTGAGATGCTCAGCTGCCCAACCTCTTATCAAGGTCCTTGGTGGACAGGCCAGGAGAGGAAGGCCGCAGAGGAAACAGCCTCATCAAGGTGAGGGGTGGGCCAGGCAGCCACCCGTGCAGTAATATCTCGGCTGCTGGACAGTTGTACTTAACAAAGGATGGGCCTTAGGGCCATGGCCCACCTCGAGTGTGCATCTGTGTTATTTATGTCCCGAAACACCAGGTGTTCAGAGGCCACGGAGATTGCTGGTGAAGGGGTTGCTTTAGAGCCATGGGGTTCCGGAGTGCAGGCCCTAGGGATTTCTCTTGCTTGCTGGGTGACTTTGCGCAAGGGACTTCACTTCTGTGAGCCTCAGTTTCCTCGCTGGCCTAGTGGAGTGAAAATACCAGTTCAGGCAGCTATTGAAGATCACAGGAGATAACATGTGAGATGTTCAGTGCAGGGCCTGGCATGCAGTAAGTGCTCAATAAATCCTGGCTGGTGGCAGCATGACTTGTCAACTGCTCTGCAAGGGGCACCAGGCCCTCTTGGCCGGCCTCTCTCCCCAAGAGAGCCACTCCTTGTCTTGCCAGCCGCCCCGTCCCTGGTGATTAGGTGGGGGGAACGTGTCCTCTTCCCAGCCTAAATCCCAGCATTCTTGCTTCCTTCAGGTCCTGCTCTTCCTCAGCTAACTGTGGACATGTGCACAGGGCCCAGCCCTGAATCCAGATGATGTTCGTGCCAGTGGCTTCGGTGATGGCAGTGACTGAACCAAAATGGGTCTCGGTCTGGGGCCGTTTCTTGTGGCTGATGCTGCTGAGCATGGCGCTGGGGTCGCTGCTGGCCCTGCTGCTGCCACTGGGAGCCATGGAGGAGCAGTGTTTGGCCATACTCAAAGGCTTCTACCTGCTCAGGAGCAAATTAGACAGGGCACAGCATGCTGTCACCAAGCACACCAGCCCCTCCACAGAGCTCAGCATCACCTCCAGGGATGCAGGGCTGCTGGTGGTGAAGACCAAGGCATCTCCAGGTAAGAAAGACGCCTCCCTCCTCGTTGCTGACTGGACAGATATCTGCAGCTGGCTTGCTGTGTCCTGCGGGGTACAGTAGTAAAGTCAGCCCTGGGTCCCAGTCTAGACAATCCAGCAGGTGACTTAGCATGTCACAGGTATGATAGGAAAGCACAGAGCACTGGAGGAGCATCCCACCAAGACTCCCTGTAGGAGACATCGCCCAAGCTGAGCCCCAGTTGTAAGCAGGTGTGATCCAAGGAGAAGGGCATGTAAGGAAGAGTGTTCTAGGCAGACGCCAGAGTGTAGGAGACCTGGGGACGCCTGAGGAACTCAAAGAAGTTGAGTGTGTGTGGCTGGCACCCGATGCCAGGAAAACGGGGCTGGGACAAGAGGCTGGACCCAGTGCAGGTTCCTCTACCTCCTCTGGAGCCTCCGATGTACATAGCAAGATGGGGAGTAGGAACCTCAGTCCCAGCAGCACACACACCAGACACATCTCCAGACATTGCTAGATGTCCCCTCAGGGGCAGCATTGAACCACTGGGTTAAATAGTGCAGGGAAGCCGAAGGCCACGGGACGAGCACAAGGGAGGGCGGGCTGAACACACCTGGGCCTGAACGGAGGGTGTGGACAGCAGTGTCCCCAGCAAGGGCTGAGCTGGAGAAGTCAGGAGAGGGCCACCCATGACAGCAGCACAGTAGGGAAGGCACAGGGACAGGAGACGCCTGGACCTTCCTGTGTGGCAAGGGTGCAGAGAGTAGTCTGGGACACAGAGAGTAACCAGCACCCCACACCACAGGGCAGCGGGGCATAGGGGCACTGGTGACCGTGTGGACATAGGGTGGCTGGGGCAGGGGAGGTGGTGTCCCAGGACACCTGCCCAGGGGCAGCGCCCCTGAACATCTTTTGTCACCCCACCCTCGCTGACAGGCTGCTTTGGCTGTCTCTAGCAGGCAAACTGGAAGCCAGAGCAGCTTTGAACCAAGCCCTGGAAATGAAGCGCCAGGGCAAAAGGGAGAAAGCCCACAAGCTCTTCCTGTACGCACTCAAGATGGACCCGGACTATGTGGACGCGCTCAACGAGTTCGGCATCTTCTCGGAAGAAGACAAGGACATCATCCAAGCGGATTACCTGTACACCAGAGCGCTGACCATCTCGCCCTTCCATGAGAAGGCACTGGTCAACCGGGACCGGACGCTGCCGCTCGTGGAGGAGATCGACCAGAGGTACTTCAGCATCATCGACAGCAAGGTGAGGAAGGTGATGTCCATCCCCAAGGGGAACTCAGCGCTGCGCAGGGTCTTGGAGGAGACGTACTACCATCACATCTACCACACAGTTGCGATTGAGGGCAATACCCTCACTCTGTCCGAGATCAGGCATATCCTGGAGACGCGCTACGCCGTGCCGGGCAAGAGCCTGGAGGAGCAGAACGAGGTCATTGGCATGCATGCAGCCATGAAGTACGTCAATACCACCCTGGTGTCGCGCATAGGTTCTGTCACCATTGGCGACGTGCTGGAGATCCACAGGAGGGTGCTGGGCTACGTGGATCCAGTGGAAGCTGGCAGGTTTCGCATGACCCAGGTCCTGGTAGGACACCACGTCCCTCCCCATCCCCGGGACGTGGAGAAGCAGATGCAGGAGTTCATACAGTGGCTCAACTCTGAGGACGCCATGAACCTGCACCCGGTGGAGTTTGCGGCCTTGGCGCATTACAAACTCGTCTACATCCACCCTTTCATCGATGGCAACGGGAGGACCTCGCGCCTGCTCATGAACCTCATCCTGATGCAGGCAGGCTACCCGCCCATCACCATCCGCAAGGAGCAGAGAGCTGAGTATTACCACGTGCTGGAGGTGGCCAATGAGGGGGACGTGCGGCCTTTCATCCGCTTCATCGCCCAGTGCACTGAGACCACCCTGGACACCTTGCTCTTCGCCACGACTGAGTACTCGGTGGCGCTGCCGGAAGCCAACCCCAACCATTCCGGGTTCAAGGAGACGCTTCCTGTGAAGCCCTAGCCTTGCGCACGCGCTCTGTGCAACAAGAGAAGCCAGGCAGACGGGCTCAGAGAAGCTTAACAGTTCTAGAAACCTAATCATCTCCAAAGGCAGAAGGAAACCTTTAAACATTCTTTACCTCCAAGAAATGTTTTAGTTAAAAAAAAAGAAAAAAAAACTAAATTATTAAGCCTTGTATCTAAGATAACTTATAATTCAGCAAAGTTATTTATTTTCGTTTGAGCAAGCAGTGTAGTGTGTCCGCTGTGGCAGTGCCGGGAGCCGCTGTGTGAGTGGCGGCCCGCATACTTTAGGGGCACCAGTGCTCCCATGTCACCAGAACCGAGGTTCTGGAGCAGAATTTGCACTAAGCGGGGGGTTGGTGGGGG